ATCTTTGTATGTCACTATATCAGAAATCAATTTGAAAAGTAAAATAAAAGACATGATGACAAGATATTAGTTAATACTAGACAATTATATAATATTTAAATATAGAAATACAATAACAAAAAAATGTTTGTTATAGTATTTCTATATGTTGAACCTTTCTTTAACAAGAATTGGGACTTCAATGCTTTGAATTATTCTTTCAATTTTATTATCTTTTTTCTCAATCTTTTCTTCTTGTTGTTTATTCTGGAGTTGTGTTGATGAAATAAACTTATTTAACCAATTGAGATGACTCTGGTCATCTTTTCCAATACACAATCTTCCAATTGCTGTTCCAGAAAATTCTTTTCTTTCTTGATCAGTAAATCTGCTTAAATCAGCATTTTTGTTTGCAATTTCTTCAAGATAAAGTTCATACCGTTTTTGTTTTTTTCCATCTTCAAATTCTCTTTTAATTGAAATGTCTTTTAATCTCTTTTTAATCTCTTCTTCATTTCTTTTAATTTCATCTGACCCTTTACCAAGTACTTCATTAATCAAAAGCTGACTATTTTCTGTTTCTATTATTTTGTCTTGTTCATCTTCTCTTCCAAATGTCACTTCATAATCTTTGCCTTTTCGTTTAACAATAATACTTTCTTTTCCATCCCATTGGATGTCTTTCAAAAATTTTTGTGCTTCAACAAAACTCATTCCTGATTTTATCAATTTTTCAATCTCTTTTTCCTTTTGTTTAAAGTCAATCCCATCTTCATCATCAACAATATCTTCAATTCCAAGTTCAATCTTTTTTCCTTTTCCACCCTGAAAGTATGTAAATCCCATTGGTTCAAATTGTTCAGTTTCAATCTTATCTATTTCCTTGACATTCCCTCCCTCAAAAGCACCATGAAACATTTTTTTTCCATTTGAATCATAAGCGTATTGTAGTCTTGTTTCTTTTAATGCGTTCTTATTAATTTTATATTGAATATCCTTAGTTTTTCTCTTCATAAATATCCTTTAGTTAAATCTTTTTTTTATTAGTTTATTTTATTATTCTTTTTATTTAAAATAAAAAACAAATAACAAAAAAAAAGAATGTTTTTTATAACAAATATACCTTTATTTTTAATAAATTAAAAATTTGTTTTAATTTATGAAATTCAATAACGTTGAAAAAAGTGAATATTATTTCAAAGGAGTTTTTTTATTTTGTTTAAAA